GCCCCTCACAGCCTGCCCCAGTGGGACCTCAGTGCCAGGTCCATCTATGCCCTTCCTTTCTTCCCCTCCAGAGGTGCTCAGCGATGAGGACAAGCTGAAAATGAGTAAAATCAAGAAGAAAATGAGACGGAAGGTGCGAGCGTGTGGCTCGGGGTGGGCGCTGGGGCTCCTCGGGTCTGGGGTGGGGGTCTCCCTTGTGTGGGGGGGTCTCTGGATCTCTAAGTGGGTCTCATCTCCCCAGGCCAAGAACAAGCAGAAGCAGGAGGCCAAAGCCCCCAGGGCCAAGGAGACCAAGAAGAAGCCTAAGGTGGGTCCGTGGGTACAAGGGGACCCGGGAGAGGGAGGAGCTGGAAGATGAAGATGGATTTTTCCTCCCTTTCCTTTTCTCCCCACACATCTGTGATGTGTCCCCAGGCCAAGGAGAAGAAGGGGAAGCCAGAGAAGGGCAAGGACAAGGCTCGGCCCAAGGAGAAGAAGGGCAAGGGGACTCGGAAGGCGGACAAGGGGCTGGTGGCCCAGCGGCGCCTGGAGGAGCGGCAGCGGCAGCAGCTCATTCTGGAGGAGATGAAGAAGCCCACGGAGGACATGTGCCTGGGGGACCACCAGGTGGGCTGGGCCGGGGGGCTCGGTTGGGTCACACTGCTGAGCCGATGGCTGGCCCTGACCCCCCCCTCTTCTTCCCCGCAGCCCCTTCCAGCCTTCTCCCGCATCCCGGGGCTCGTCCTGCCCAGCCGCGCCTTCTCCGACTGCCTGACAGTCGTGGAGTTCCTGCAGAGCTATGGCAAAGTGCTGGGCCTGGACCCCACGCGGGACGTGCCCACGCTGGGCGCGCTGCAGGAGGGGCTGCTGGGGGTGGGCGCCGGGGCCGGGCAGCTGCAGGACCTGCTGGTGAGGCTGCTGCAGGCAGCCATCTACGACCCCGGGCTGCCCCCCTACTGCCAGGTGAGACGGCCCTTACCTGCCCTTTCCCCTTCCCTTTCCTTCTCTGCCCCTCTCTTTTCTTTTTTCTCTCTCCTCTTTCCGTTTCTCCCCTTCCCCTTTTCCCCCTTCCCTGACTGGTGTTGTCAGGAAGGGGAGCCTGGATTTGGGAGGTGCTGCTCTCACTGCAGCCCCCTGTGCCCAGCCAGCTCCTGACCCCCAGCAGCCCTTGGGGTGCCCTCAGATCTCACCTGCTGCAGAGACCCTGCCTGGGACACCCCTGGGTTTGCTCCCACTTGGGTTCCTGGCCTGATTTTCCCAGCCGTGGGGTCCTGCCTTCCCCCCCTCCTGGCAAATCCCCCGTGGGGACAGGAAGTGACTCCCCAACCCCTCCCGCTCTGCTCTCCCCAGTCCCTGAAGATCCTGGGGGAGAAGGTGTCGGAGATCAGCCTGAACCGGGACACCGTGTCCGAGGTCCTGCGCTGCTTCCTGATGGCGCGCGGGGCGGGCGCGGAGCTGTGCGAGGGGCTGCGCACCAAACCCTTCCAGGCGCTGCCCCCGGAGTGGAAAGCTGCCATCCTGGTCTTCCTGGTGAACGAGCTCAACAGCAGTGCCCTCATCATCAGGTGAGCCTGGGTGGGGGGCACCAACATCCTCTGGCCCCCTGGAGCGGGCCCCGCTGCCCCCCCAGAGCTGCCCATCGCAGCCACCCCGCCCTGTCCTTGCAGTGAGATCGACAAGACCCTGGAGAACATGTCCAACTACAGGAAGAACAAGTGGATCATCGAGGGCCGCCTGCGCAGGTGGGTGGGGAGGGGCTGCACCCCCAGGGCGTGTGGCTGGGAGGGGGCACTGAGACCCCCACCTGTGACCCCCCGTCCGGCGCTGAGGGGTCTCGGGGTGGCATTGCCAGCGGTGGGGTGTGAGCAGGTGCCTCTGGGGCAGTGGGGGTGGGCAGAGGGACAGGAGTCAAACAGCTCCGCTGTGTCCTGGCAGGCTGAAGGTCGCCCTGGCCAAGAAGACGGGCCGACCCGAGTCGGAGATCACGGGCCTGGAGGACGGACGGCGCCGGCGCAGCTCCCGCCTGACCGAGGACACGGGCCTGGAGATGGAGGAGGAGGAGGAGAGCCGGGGACGGAGATCCCGCCGGGAGGAGGAGGTGGGGTGGTTCGGGGTTGGGGGACAGAGGTAGGGATGCCACTCTTGGGGGTCTCTCCCTGACGGATCCATCCCTTCCCCAGGCCGACACGTCCGCGTCCAGCGTCCCGGAGCTGGAGCGGCAGATCGAGAAGTTGGCCAAGGTGAGGTTGGGGTGGTGGAGGGCTGGGGGTTCAGCCCTGCTGGGGGGCTGCAGCCCCCTCACCGCCCCCCACTCTCCCCACAGAGGCAGATGTTCTTCCGCAAGAAGCTGCTCCATTCCTCCCAGACGCTGCGAGCGGCTTCCCTGGGCCAGGACCGGTACCGGCGGCGCTACTGGGTCCTGCCCCACCTGGGCGGCATCTTCGTGGAGGGCGCGGAGGGTGAGCGGGGAAGGGGCTTTYGGGGGTTCTCCCGGCCGGGAGAGGACCCCACATCTCA